GATTTGTCAGTTGCATTCATCTGTATAACAAGTTATACAGATGCTTTATAATCTGCTAGTTATACTGATGTAACTATAATTACAGATATTTTAACTCAATTGTTAGAAACAGTTGCTGAAATACCAGATTACATAAATAATTATTCAAATTTTTACTGTCAATAGGATTTAAACATCCAACCTACCATTTGAGAGGTTGACAACCTAACCATTTTACTTGATTACCACACTTTTCTTTCTATTCTATTTAATATTACATTGTTTATAATACATATTAACAACTTTTAGTTCTAAAATTTAAGCAAAATTTGTATTACTACATATTTAGTCTATTCTATTTTTGTAATTATAATGTTTTTTATGTCTTTCTCTTCTTAAAAGTAAGAGCTTCAAATCTTATTTACTAATTTGTCTAAAATTAACAACTTTGTTTTAGTTGGTTTTTCTATTTCTAAATTTAGTAATAACATTATTTCTGTTGTGATTGTTTTTTATCTGTTAATAAAATTTTAATTTTTTGTTTTATTTGTTTTTGTTATTTATTTTATCTAATTTTTTTTGTATTTTAGTTTACAAACCTTTTATTTTTTTTCTTTTTTTACTAGATTCCTTATCAAAAAACCTTTCTTATTAATAAACTTGTTTTTTATTCATTGTTTTTTGCTAAAGTGTATATACTTTTCAGGCGATGAGCTTGTCCTAACTAATATTAAGGCATTTTAGGATAAGACTGGTTGTCTATTTGAATAAGTTAGGCAAATAATCTGTTTTAGTTTTAGTAAACAATTTCTTTTTTTGTTATTCTTTTTTCTTTTCTTGCAGCTAGATATTGGCTAATACTTAACTGTTTTTGATATTTTTTTTTAGAGATTTGCTATTTATCACCACTGGTGATCATCACCAGTGTATAATATAAAATAAAATTTTACTAACAAAGCTACTTTGGGGTTCTAATAAAAAAAATTCTCTATAAAATTCTGAGTATAACCCTTTTTTTCTTCTAACTTAAGCTTTTAAACCTTACACTAAATATTAAAAAAATCAAGTTTTGCTTTGATAAAAATTTAAATTTAAATATTGTAAATCACTGGTGATGATTACCAGTAGTGAAACATAGTAATTTTCTTTAAATTTAATTAATATTATATAAAATAATTAATATATATAACAATACTATAATTTCTCTGTAACTTTTTTTTTTCTAAGTCTTTTCTTAATTATATACTAATTACTATAATTAATTTAGCTATATATTATTTATTAGTTTATCAATTATAATTAGGATTAATTTAGCAAATATTATATAAATAGATAAACATTATTATAACTCATTTACTTTATTCTATAGTGCAATTTTGCTTATTAATAATGTGATTAATATGTGTATTAATAATTAATTTTGATTTGTAATAATTTATATTTATTTTTTATTTTTATTTTTATTTATTATTAATTATATGTTGAATTTTCTGAATAAATTAGTAAACATTATAAGTAAACTAAACTTCAATTTTTAATATACTTTTATTCTTAAATTTATATATTTTTAAAAATTATTTAAACCTGACAAGATTTCTTTAATAAAATTTATATATATTTATTAGTAAAATTATATACAAAAGTACTTCAAATAACAAAACCTTTATAATATATATATATAGCAATATTTAAAAATAAATTAAATTGAAATTACTTTAATATTGTTATTCAAATATTTTCTAAAATTCACTTTTGTAATATTATGTTTATCTTATAAATAAATAATTAAATTTGAAGTATCTTTACTTTTTTTAATATATATAAAAGGTTTTTTATCACTTTTAGTTAAGTTTTTTTTGCAAATTTTATAATAAACAGCTTGAAAATTTGTTTCATATTCTTTAAAAAAATGAGTAGTATAACTTTGATTAATTTATAATTTTGTTGCCTTTTTTGCTTTTTTTTATTATCTGTAAATAAAGAATCAGAAAGCTAATTATTATATAATAAATTAAAAGATTTCAAATAAAATATTGTCTATAAAATTAGAAAGTAATAGTTGAGATTCTTTTATTTGATAAAGAGTAAGAAATAATAAAAGATAATACTATATTATTAATAAAAATATAATATAATTATTAATTAATTATTATATAATTATTAATGAAATAATGTAATTTAAAATAAATATCATCTAGAATAAAGTAAACACTTTTATTATTCAGATATGTTACAGATGCTTATATTATTGTTAATTCAAAATAACTATAAAAAATTTATATATAGTTTTATTTGCAAACTAATATATATAAACATACAAAAGAATAAAAAAAAATTAAATAAATACAATAACAAAATTCTTAATTATTCTATACTATACAAAAATATATATAAATATATGTATTTACTAATTTTTTCTAAATTTAGATTATTTGTACTAATTTATATGTTGCCTTCTCTTTAAATATAGCATTTCAGTTAGTGTTAGGAGTAATAAGCAGAATTAAACCAAAATTTTGCAAGAAATTTTTTTTGTTAGTATGCAAAAATAATTTTGATGTATTTTTAAGATAAATATAACTTTAAAAAAAAGTGACTATAAATAAAACTGGTTTATAATTTTAAAACTAGTTTTTTAGAATTTTATAACTGGGTTTTAATTTGAAAACCAGTTTGGCAAAGTTTTATAACTGAATTATAATACTACAAATCTGATTTTATATAAAACTATATTAATTCTAATTTATCATCAAATTTTATTAATCAGTTTCAATCACTAGAAGGCACTTCTTTTGCACTATATAAGATCTTAATATCTGATTGGCTAGCAAAATAAATTAGAGTATTTAACCTATATTATACTGAGCACTGTAAAGTAAATTAGTTGTAGTATAAAAATGTTTAGTTACATAATTAACAATTATTTTTGACAGTAATTAGAAAAAATACAAAAGATAAAACATTGTAATCTTTTAATATATGTTAAAAAAATGTATCAATAAAACATATTAAGAGGTTTGTGTATAATTAGCAACTGTACATACAAATAAAATAATATTTTACTTAAAGTATTGTTAGAAATATATAGTATAATAATAATAAATAGTAATTATTATTTTAACATATTTGTATATATAAAATTTTAATTAAAAAAATTAATGTTTATAACAATATAAGTTTTTAAAAACCAAGAATTTTAAATATAACCAAATTTATTTTTAACAATATTATAAGTAAATAAAATTTTTTTAAAAGATCTAATTTTTAGCTTTAACAAAACTTATTGAAACCAAAAAGCCAATTTTCCTATTTGTGATTTATCTCAGATCTGTTATTGTGTTCTTGCATTAAAAACTTTGTTGCATGTAATAGCTTTAGCAATAAGAAGCTTTTTAAGAGTTGTATATACTTTATAAAACTTCACATTTTCAATATTATCAGTTATAATCTTTACTAGTGAATTAAATGTTTGTTTATTTTCTATTAATTCTGTTTTTCTATTTTTAATCTTTATATAGTACTCAGAAATAGATGTAATATTATAGCTACTTAATATTTTAAAATCTAATACAAATTTTTTTGTAAAACATTATTTCAAGAGTTATTGCTTAGGTGAATTCTTGAAATATTTTTTTATTAAAAGTAATAAATAGATAATCATAATAACAGACTGTAGCTTTAAATTAAGAAAAAAAATTTAGATTCTCTACTGTAATTTTTTTGCTAGATGTTTACATATAAGATAAGTATTATATATAAATGTATAACAAGAGCAAATCCAAGAATTTATATCAGTATAATATTTGTCTTCATTATTTATATTTTTTTTTATAATGATTTTTTAGTATTCTTTAAATGAATCCTAATATAATAGAAATTTATAATTATAATAATATCATAGTTAGATATTTTTAATATCAGAAACTAGTTCTTTTATAATAATTTGTCTTAAACAATCTAGATATAGCCTATTACAATTATATTTATAATTGTATTTATGATTATACCAATGTAACTTTACAACTATTGTGGTACTGCCAATAGGCATTGCATTTGGATAGAATGATTATGCAAACAAATTCTAATTTTTTATATTATACTAGTTTGATCATAAATATCTCTATAGCTTATCAAAATTATTTTGACAGCAAAATTGATAAGTTTCTAAAATATTTTGATACTAAATTGTTTCTACTATAAGAAAAACATTTTTATTTACTAGTATAAGAAAATATAATATCAAATGCTTTGTAACCATTCTTAATAACTCTTCTTCTAATCCTTTAGGATACATATTACTTTGCTAATCTTTAGGAACCTATATAGATTTAATAAAGTTAAATTGAGAATATTTTTCACTTGTTTTTTATATTGTACTGATTTTTTTTTAAATTTTATTTAAAAAAATAAAAAAAAAAACTAAAAAGATATAAAAAAATTTTTTTTTTTAATGTTAATGGTGAGGCCATGTCTCTATCTTTATTGAATATTTAACTGAGATTTTACATAAAGTTTAAATCTACTTTTAAAATATTATAGCAAGAATAGAAGCTCAGACTAATTTATCTGCGACCTAAACCAACTGGAGTAGCCAAAACTCACCTAGATTTGGGTGTTAGAGATATAAAAAAATTAAATTAATAAAAATTTATATTTATCTAATTTTTGTTTCTTTTAATTTGTGTTTAATAGCATACTTTATATGTCAAAAACAAAGTTGTATTATTGTAGTTCAGAACCAAGCTTTATGAATAGTTATAATTTTTATAGCATCTTTGTCAAATAGCATAAAAACTGATAAAATATATTCATTTTATAAGCTTTTAAAAAATTCATTAAGTATACCAACTCTTGTGTTTATCTTATTTCTTAAATTTTAAATTTAATTTTTAATAATTTAAATAATTTAATTTTTTTAGTATACAATATATATCTTGAATCTGAAAGATATTCTTCTATTACTGTATATATATTTATATACAGATATGCAAGAGAAATTCCATACCTGCCACAATTAATATTTATAGCAAAGAGCTCAAATTACTTCTGATTTGCTTTAAATATTGAGTTAATAACAATTTTAGTAATTTTTCTGAAGCTTGAAGAAATGGTGTATTAAAACTAAGTGTATATACAAACTTATTTTTATAATACAAAATAACTTTATACTTTTCATCTTTTAAATCTCTTTGTCTTAAAAAGTTTTTTGCTGAATTCAACTAATTTTTAACATTAGTCACATATTAATTTACTGAGAATTTACATAACCAATAATATATTTAGTAATAAGTATGTAATAATAAGTTAATTAAATTCTCATTGCAAAACCACTTATAGAACTTAATTTTCATGAAATGCTATTAACATTTTGTTGTATCAATATTATAACATTATAGGTAATTTTGTTTTCCTATATGTTGAACATTTATGAGCCAGATATTTTACAGATATTATTGCTTTTTGCTTACACAGATCTATTTTAATTTTTATAACATTTATACAAACAAATGTTGAATAACAGATCTTGCTTCATTTATTCATTTTGCATGTTGGTTATTAAACTTTTATATTTATAATCAGCTCTTTAAATAAAATTAATTATATTAATTAACTAATTAATTAAATTAATTTTTTTAATTTAGTCAATATAAACTTAATTGAATCTTATAACTCAACTAATCAAAATTTTGTATAAGTTAAATTTTTAGTTCTTTCATAACACTTAGGTTTTATATGATCCAAAAAATTAACTTAATATTGACTTTATTGCTAATAATATTTTTATTAGATTCTAATCTTACCTTTGAGTACAGCATAGATGAGCTGTTGCACACTCTATATATTGATTATTTTTTATATTAGACTATAGATTTTGAATTTCCTAATAGTATTCAGATCTTTCTTAAAGAGGTATAAGCAATGTCTTGAATATAATATTAAATTTTTTAATATCCATATTTTGATCAGGTTCTAAAGATAAACTTTCATTATTCACTGTTTTTTTTTAATTTTTATTATTACTGAAAACTCAACATTGGTACTTAGCTCTTTATATTCTCTAAATTTGATGATAATAAACTCTTCAAGATTATTAATATTATAAATCAGATCATCCTCACTACTTTTACTATAACTTGTATCAGTATACATTTCAATATTTGAAAGAATAGATAAAATAGTTCTATTATTAATTGTGTCAGATAATTTGTCTTTTAACCAGTTTTTTCTTTTTTTATTTTATCTTTTTCAGCACAATTATTACATGTGTCAAAGGTTTTAATATTACTTCAGTTGCATCTTATAAATTCAGTTACTAATTTGAACTTATAGCAGTAAGAGCACCATTTATCATTATTAGAATTGTAAGTTAGAATGTTAAAAGAGTTGTAAGTTAGATTGTTAGAAATAAACATTATTAAATAGAGACAATTTGGAGATTTTAGTGAAAACTGATTTAGAGATTTTGTAAAAGGCCAATTTATAGAAGTCTGTGTATACTATACCTACTTTAAGTTAATATACATTATTTATACAATGACAAGCTTAATAAATTTCGAAAGCAATACTTTATTTTTTTAATAATGTGACAAATTAGTTTAAAAGCTTAATAAATTTCGAAAACAATGCTTTATTTTTTTAATAATATGACAAATTAGTTTAAAAGCTTAATAAATTTCGAAAGAAATACTTTATTATTTTTAATAATATGGCAAATTAGTTTAAAAGCTTACCAAATTTTGAAAGCGATACTTTATTTTTAAAATTTTACAAGCTTTCGCCTGATTTATTAATCTATAAGCGTGTTATGTAATTTTAATTTTAACTATATTAAAGTTACAATAATTATACTAAAATTACAATACAAGTTTTTGTCTTTGTATATTACAATATTAGTGTGATATTAGATGTTTATTAACGTTCAATCCTTTGTAAAATATAACTTTTCGTTTTTCTTTACATATTATCATATACCGATTTATTAGTGTATGATTGTATTTATTACTAACATTAATTAACAGGATAAACTAATTTTTTACTCGATTTTACATGTACTGATTTATTAGCATATAATGGGATTTATTAGCATATAACGATAATTTAATTTCGTAGTATTAATAAATGTTGTTTTTGTGTAACAAATGATTTATCGGGCTGCGTCAGAGGTCGGAAGAGATCGTTGATCGCGTGATCTCGACATTTTTTGCTGTACGGTAAATCTCATTTGCAACAATTGTACTAAGTACTGTATTTACGAAAAAAAATTGAGTTCGTACATACCCAATATTTAAAAGGAATGTTAAAGTTAAATTCCATATAATATTGCACAATGCAAAGAACTACCGCTACTGCTAAACCTCTCAAAACCGATATGCATGGGTGTTGATCATAGGGATTGGAACTGCCTAAAAATTTTCTTAATTTTCTTAATCGTTTAACCGTTTAAAATAATTCCGGCCCACGACCAACGTAATTCTGCCCGAAACTATGGAGCAATTTTTAAACGGTTAAACGGTTCCAATCCCTAGTTGATTTGAAAGTTTATTATATCGATCTATCAGTAAACCCGTTCTTTTGCTTGTGTTAGTCTAGCTGCTAATTAGACTAATCTGATTATGACATTTATCATTGGCAAAAAAAAAAATATTTCGTCACCACTTACTGATCTATCATTTGATTCTTCAATTCAGCCAGGAAAAACTGACATACACATTTCTACTTTAACTATATATTTATTAGTGGTTTCCCTTTGTGTTAGTATTTATAAGATTTAATTGTCAAGTATTATGTATGATATTTCGTAATTATATCTTTAATAAGGAATTCATTCTTTAAGCCAAAAGTTTTTACACGGTACGATGTACTGTAGATCTTTTTTTGATTTCAAATTTGTTACACAAACAATCATGTGTTCGATCTTTTTAATTAAAATTTCAGAATTTTACACGTTTTAAATTTTCGTACGATATTCATTTTACTTGTTAAAAAAAGCAATTTTTAAAGTAAAAAAATACGCATGTACTTTTAAAAAAATGCAGTCTTCAACAAGGGCCGAGTTATCAGGAAAACTGATAAAGCCAACACACGGTGCTAAAGCTTTTAAGGAAAAATTTGTTGAAATTTACGAAAATTTCTTCAAGGTTATAATTCATTAATTTTTATCTTTTTTTAACAAAAAGGTTTTAATTTAATAATTTGTATAATAGGGAAATGATCCATCAACTGGACAACCTCATTTTTGGAGCGAGTTATTTCTTCTTAAAGTTAATGCGCCGTATTTAACGAGATGTCTTACCGAAATCTCTCAAGATCAATTATTAGCAATCAAAGCATGTATTGTATTCTATTGATTAATTATGAAATCAAGTTAATTATTTACACAATTTTTTTTATTAAAGCAAGTATAAAAATTTGTCAATAAATTAGGGCAACATTAATAAAATATTTTTAAATTCTATTGAAATGATGAAAGATGAAACTTCTAAACGCAAAATTAATGCCATTGAGGTAAAAAAAATATATATATAAATTTTATAGAGCATTTAACGAAATCGTTAATTGACATTATCATTTTTTTAGACACTATGCATACTGCTCCAAGGAATTTTTGTCAAAAAATTTAACAATTTTAGCTCTGATGTTATCAATTTGTTGACCGGATTGAATAATGCAGACACAGTTTTTACTGTAAGTTACTAGTCCACATGACTGGTGTTTATTATTGATTTGTTTTAAATTTATATAAAAACTATTTTGATAGCAATTGGTTGATGCAATCAAACACTTATTGGAAGATGATGAAACAGGTGTTATATATTAATGTTTGTGTGATATCAATAATAAAGTTTAATTCACACTTACATCTCATTTTTTTTATACTTCGTTATAAAATAGTAATCAAATATGAAGCATTGCGTCTTGCCATCGTGGTTGTATGCGGAAATAATAATATCAACCAAAACAGTATAAATGAATTCTTTATGAGAAATGATATTTTTGATCCACTTATCAAGGTAAATTTAATTTGTTGATTTAATTATAAAAATATTATTATATAACTAATTTTTTCATGCTTGATTTAATATTGGGTTGACATGATTATTGACCTAGATAATAATTGCGCCTGAAACTTCTTATGTGGCTTATGAAGCTATAATGTTATTGGGAATATTGGCAAATTATAATAAGCATGAATCTAAAAATCCATATATGGCAAAAATTATCGCAATTAAGGATGAAACTGTTTTTAAAGTATGTAAATACTTTAATGATTTATAGGTTTATTTTTTAGCATTGATTTGTAATTTTTTTTTATATAACTGATTCTAGAAAATATTGGATACTGTAGCATCAACATGCAAGAAATGTCGCAAGTAATTTTGATTTAGTGCGCATATGTGTTATGTTATTAAGTAATAAATAATACATTAATGATTATAATTATAATACTTTTAAGTTATTATATTGAAATTCAAGATGATGAAGAGACTTATAAATATTCAGTTTCATCAGCCTTATCATATGTTGGTGCTATCTTACCATGGGGAATGAGCGGTAGTACAAAAGAACAACATGATATTTCTGATCCTGATCAAGCTTTTAATCAATTGTAATTAGATATAGATTTTTCAACATTTGTTATTTTCCGGTTGTTATACGCCAGGTTAATAACATCCTCTCTAAAATTTTATCTTTTAGGCCATCAGCAAACATTGCGATTCTTTTAGTTTATTATGATTTTGTTAACAATAATAAGGGATTTGTTGCATACATATCAAAGTCGATAGCAGAATATCAAATAAATTCTGAATCAGAAACAAATTCGTGTTTGTATTTAATAAAATATTTAAATACAATATTTATATCTTTTACATTAGTATTTATATTAACGCTAATTTGAATTTTTAGATGGACCTTATTTTCTTGATTTTCTTTCATTCGCGTCCTATCTTGTACAGCACAACCGCTCTGCACGCACTGCGAGCTATGTTAAGTTGTCCTTACTTGTGCTTCTGATCTTGACTGAAGACGTAACATTTGATAGTCGTATTTCTGATGAACGGAAAAGTTACTATGTGAGGCTTTGTCGGCAGGTAAAGCATAAGTTTCATAATTTTTCAAAGTACTACCATTGTTGTCCTTAATAATTAATTATTATTGATTAACAGCGACAACCTTTACTACCAAGCGTAAGAAATCCACGCCCTTTAGTTTGTGCAATATTAGATATCTCTTTAGGCTTTATAAATCATAATATGCGAAAAAAATTGCAGATAGATTTATATAGGTTTGTATAATATAGTGTGATTGTCATGTCTGGAGTAGTTCCTTATCTAAAAATATCTGAAGTAGCCCTGACTTGAATTAAGCACCTAAAATTAGATAAATTAAAACTTTATGTGTTAATTCTAGGTACTACTTTAGATGCATGAAGTAGCTACTTCTTATAGGTAGCTACTCTGGATATAATATTATATTAATTCACTTCATTAAAATTATGGTTTATTTAGTTTGGTCTTGGGAATTATCCAACGAATAATGTTATATCACAAAAAATTTAAAGTTGTATTATGTAAGGACCAATTATTCAAATTCATTTAGGTTAATTCATCTATTATTCATAACTATAATATATTTGCTTTCTTAGCATATCATTGGTCAGAATTATGGCATTCTTTGATAGGGTTACTCAAATTCATTCACTCCAACTATGACAATTTCCAACAAGATCGTTCATCAATCAATGAAATATTGATTTCAGCAATAACCACTATAAATCTGTGTATCTCATTTGGTGATTCATTTTTTCCGGATGCAGTAACTTATGATAAATTATTTTATGAGATAGTAAGGTCAAATGAAGTTTTTGAAGGTTTAAGTAAAATAGGTTTGTTTACATAATATAATACAAAAAAGTTTTATGTTTAATGTTAATCGTATCCTAATTATTTAACACTCAATATTATTAGTCAATATTCAAGACCCAGTTAAACCTTCACAAAAATTCTCGCCAACTGAACAGGCTTTTGTTAATATAAATACTATTTGCCAACATTTTCATTTAAAAATAGAGGCTTGGAAAGCGGCTAATCGAGCCCAAACATTGCTCCCTGAGCAGGTATTGTATTTTGTTATAAATGTACAGTATATATTTATACATATATTAAACTTTCATTAACATAATGTGATTTATCTATGTTGTTCCTGTATACGAACATTACAGGTCTTGGGTAAATATTTGCTTAATAGTAAGTTAATTAATAAGTATAAGAAAATTCCTAATATACATTTTATTTTATATCTTAGCAATTATTAATGCAAATTATGATAGCCTAAATTTAATTACACCTGAAAAACTTGATAATTACACTTCTTATAGTGAAATACCATATCATGTGCCTTTTGTTAGGCAGGTTTTGAGATTGGTAGTTGAAGATTTCAAGAGGCGTGAAGTGTTATTAGAGTAAATTTGGGGGTTTTTTTGTGTCCTAAATCTAAGCATAATGAGATTATGTTTGCTATTTTTGATGACAAATTATGTGATAACTATTCCAATTGCATTTTAGTTTTTACAAAAACTATTTAATTTTTTTCAATTATCATTAGAATTTATATAATATTAATATGTTTCATGATTTTTAGAACATTTTTTAAATAATAAAGCAAAAAATATTTGCAACATTGTTTAAATTTTGCTTTTTTCAGACATAATATATTACCGTAAAATTCTCGAAATGCCAATGCAACTGCATTCTGCATACTAATAAAAAGTTTTTCTTGCAAAATTTTGGTATAAACCTAACCTAAGAGCGAAATGTTTTTTTCTTAGCGAAGTTTTTTTTAAATGGGATCACATTATGTGCGAAATTTTTTAGACTATGCATTGTATTGTTATTGGTAAATGCGACCCTAGGACCATGAGGAATAAACGTGTAACTACCCCGATATGCACCATGAAACCGTCGTACCATGATGCCGCGACCCAGGACAAATCAGGTTCTTCATTAAGTGACAGCGTCGATCCCATTGAAGAAAAGCCACCCTCCCGATTTGGAATACATCTATCAAGGTAATATTACCTTGACAAGTAAAAGTCTATGGCCGTGTCAATGCGTGTCATATGTTGGGTTGTGTGTTGTTGTGGGAGGATTGAACATTCAATGAAAAATTCTAAAGTAACGACGGATAGGTTGTTGGAAAAAAGGAAAAGTGTTAGCAAATAAGGATAAGATGGCAAATGACAATGAGAAAAAGGTGTTCAAGCCATGTTCAAAACTATGTTGGAATTGGCTAGCCAATGACAGATTTTTAATTTCCTGATCAATAGTAATAATAATAATTGTATAATTCAATATGCAATCATATTAGCAGGTTTCATCATCTAATATATAGAAGAACTTATCATTTATAATTCTAATCAAATTTGCAGATCATTTGATCAGATCTAGAACAAACCAATTTTAACTCTGATAAAATGATTTATATTAGATTAAATCTCACAAGCATAGAATCACCATCCAAAAAAATTTCAAAGATCACATGAACTATGATTATCATGTAGTAGCACAGTATTAAATGTTCATCTATCTGTTATTCTATATATTTATTTTAATATGTATAAATATACAAATTTCTTTTTTTTCAAATAATGAAGTGTGATTGTTGTAATCATAACAAATCAAATGAAGTTTTTGAAAGTTCTAAAGCTAATATACAAAAAAATTCCAATAATAAGTTTAAGAAAGCATATATTGATTGTTGCATTCATGTTTCTGCAAATAATAAATAAAAATAGATTGAAAAACAAAATAAAAATATAACAATAAATTAAGAAATACAATAGTGTCAGAAAACATTTTAGATTTATTTTTAATAATCTTTCAAGTAATTATAATACAGATGATTATTTATTTGAAAAAAGATTCTTTATTGTCTTAGAACCATTAATAGATATTATTTATTCAACTTCTATTAATCATATAAATAAAGATGTTGTGTAATATATAATCAAGCTTATTTCAAAGACTGATAATTTTTCCTGGATCTATCATAAATATAATGTAACAAAAAATCAATTGTATTCATTTATTATTGCAATTATCATAAAGAATAAAAAGTAAAAAGCCATGCATTGTTAAAATATTAAGTAAACAAGACATATTGCTAAGAATTAATCAATGTGCATATAGTAGTACAATTTAGATTAATATAGATCAATCTTATAATTTGGCAATAGTAGGTATCTATAATTATATTCATCTACCACCTGAAGTGATAGAAGTTTCTTCTCAAATTTGTAATTATATTATTAATAATAGTCTATTAATAGTTTCACAATTTTATAATAATATTAAAAACAACAATTTAATAGATTTTCACATATTACCTAATATCAAGTTTATTATTAGTTCAAAAATGTTACAACAAAAGAATATATGTTTGCTGATAATTAATTAGCATCAGCTAGACAATATTTGAAAAACAATTATTAGTTCAAACTCTTTTTTCAAGACCAAAACTCATTAGCTTTTTTAATCCTCTTGCTATTTATATTTCCAAATAAAGTTACAAAGACAATTGTAATTAATGCTATATATAGTACAACTTGTTTAAAATTTGAAATATATGTTGTTATTAGAATTATTAATAGTTTTGAATTTCCCTTATTATATTATTTTCTTGAACCAAAATATGATAAAATGTAAGTAATTATAAGATAGTTTTAATATTTAATGAAAAATAGAATTCAAAACATTGAAACTATTTTAATAGATAAGGATTATGAACAAATAATAGCTGCTAATAAAATTTGAACTAAAGTAAGATTCAACTGTATTATTGACATATAATATATGTAATAAAAAAAATTTTTCAAGTACTAATATTATGTATAATTACTATAATGCTTATTACTCTTTTACATCCCCAAATTTACAACATCAAACACATCTGGGATATCCAACTACAACACCATATCTCTAATCTTCTTAAACAACTTAATAACCCTGACCTGTTAGGCACATCAACTCGTATCTGAATTCAACAGTTACAAAACAACCTCTGGTCTCCTACTAATATTTTTTACATCCTAAACCTATTATCGATGGTCCTAACCGTCTTACTACAAACTTTAAAATTATTCAGCTTATTAAGCATATTGGCTGGACATTTTCTACTAA